TAGTAGTAGTAGTAGTACTAGTAGTAGTAGTAGTAGTAGTAGTCGTAGTTGTCGTCGTAGTAGTAGTAGTAGTAGTAGTGGTAGTAGTAGTAGTAGTAGTAGTAGTAGTAGTAGTAGTGGTAGTAGTGGTGGCAGTGGTGGCAGTAGTGGTAGTGGTGGTGGTAGTGGTAGTAGTAGTAGTAGTAGTAGTAGTAGTAGTGGTAGTAAGTAGAAGTAGAAGTAGAAGTAGAAGTAGAAGTAGAAGTAGAAGTAGAAGTAGAAGTAGAAGTAGTAGTAGTAGTAGTAGTAGTAGTAGGCGGAGGAAGAGGAGGAGCAATAGCAGCCGTGGTCGTGGTGCGGTGGCAGGTCGTGCGTCAGGCAGACATGATGCAATGGCTGCTGAGCTTTAACGCTAAGGATAGCTGCATCACGATGCCTGGTCGGAGCCGTGCGAAATAAACACACAGTGCCTCGGACACACCCTGGGCAAACGGCGGGCAGCTGCCTCTCACACCCCCTTCGGCCTGCAAGACTAAGACAGTGGCAATTCTGCGAAACAAAGACTCTACTGCCTAGCGAGTGCGAGCACAATGCTCATCCAGGTTCACATCGAGTTCTTGTGAATGTTGCAAACTGATGTGCCACACTTTCTTCATTCAGTGGCCTGCGCCTGCATGGGATCTTGATGATTTCCATGGCTCCGAGTGGAGGGCTGCGAGTCCACACCTTAGAATCTGGACAATTCGCCCGAGGTGCAGCCGCACGTCCTCAGAGGCGAACGCCTGAAGCATCTCGACTTCTTCGGAGCAGGCCAGACAAGGATCGGCAAGGAGTGGGTGCACGAACAGGAGCTGGTGAAGAATGTACCTTCAAGGCGACGACATAGCAATCCGGGGCCCGGGTACGAACACTGTACCGCGAGCGCATTAAAGAATATGCAAGATTATGCAAGACGTGCCTCCTTCACTAGCTTGTCCTGGGCCATGGAAGCCTAAGGAACGCGTGCGAGACGTCAGGAATGGCACGAAAAGCGGCAGAGAAGCCTGGGAGGCTTCTGTGGTGGTCGCGCGGCCGCGCAGTCCAGATGCAGGCGCCGGCTCTTCGAGCAGCGCGGCTGCACAGACTTCTCTGGGTCCCGAGGTTATAACAGGGTCACGTGGGTGCGCTGGCATCACCCGGCTGGCCCGGCTGGCATCCACTAGACGCTTTTTGGGGGGGCCCGCGCAGCAGTTTTAGCTGAAAGGAAAGCCTCGCAGAAGAAGCTTTACTTTGGCTCATTCTGCGGCTGATCTCTCAGAGAAAGTCCGAGCCTTGGCCAGGGAGGATCACAGGATCAGATTCCAAGCACCAGAAGGACCGAGAACCGTACCGGACCTGCGCCTCCCTCTCGGCAGGCGTGGAAACCCTCAGTCAATAATGAAACGCATGAGACTTTGCAACCAGAGCCCTGAAGGGCAGCTCGCATCCACCCGGCATTTGAGCTATTTCCTGTTTGCCTTGGCTCGTTTCGGATTTTGGGATCGAGGTGAAGAAGGTTCCAAATAATTTCGTCCGACATCAGCAGGATCCCGCAGCCCCAAATACTTGCGGATTGACCACTCTTGCACCCGAAACGGAACGCGCTCCGAGTGCTTGTTGAGTGACGGCAGAGGAGCAAAGTGGATGTTCGTAGAAACAGGCCGCGTGAGGCGTGAGGCGTTGGTTTCGACTTTGCTCGTACACATGCTCGAAATCCAACCTGCCGATGCTTCGTTCATGTCTGTGCAAGGAGCAGACTTTTTCGCACGACGGACGCTAACACCCGTGGATCTCGCGCGTCAAGTGTCGCATTGGCAGTGGGGCAGGTGGGGGCGGTGAGTGCCCGGTGTCTGGGCGTCCTCGTTGGAATCGTGATAATAGTGTTGCTGGGAAGCCATCTTCTCTGCATACCGGCCTCTAATGCGTGCAATTGATGCTCCATGAAGATCGAATTAAGTGGGGGCTGACCAGTCTGTTCTCTGTTCCCCTATTCCCGTGCCAGAGCGACCCTAAGAAGTGAGGCCAGGCTTCCCGGGATTGCGGGCTTCTTTAGCCAATTGCAAGTGCGGGGTGCTCCTCGGAGTCTCTCTCTTCGGGAATCGCTGAAATGGCGCACGCATTCTTCGCAAGTAAGGCCGGCACATGCAAATACGGGCAACATGGAGGGCACCACGTCCCCCACGTCCGGAATCGAGTCCTGCGCAGATACAGTAGCTAAATCTGAAAATATATAAACGAGTGTGGAACATGATTCGACCATCTGTATCAGAATCTTTCGCTTCACTCAACAAGTAAGGGTCGGCAAAAAACAGCTGGACAGGCCTCTATCTCTGCCCTGGTTCCGAAGTTTTCCAGTGCATCTTCCTCTCGTTGTCAGGACACTCCACGAGCCAAACTGGCTTTGCGGTATCAAGCCCAGGGCATCCATTGCCCGCACAGCATGGCAAAGCACCCGATCCTCAGCCGTGATTCTCAGAGTAAGATCTGTACAGCTGCAATTTAAAGAGGCAATGACATGCAGGTCCCTTGATTTTGATAAGGCTTGGACGAAGTTTCCGACACACTCGAAATGGGAGGTGCATCCTGCCATGCTGAATCCTAGTCTTGTCTTGCAGCATAGGTTTAGAGCCCAACGGACGTATGTGACAGGCTGTCGTCCCTCTGGCTCAGGACCTACTCAATACATGGCAACAATAATGGCATGCAACAGCAGGCAGTGGCACCGACTGCATGTTTGTTTGCTGAACTCTAAGCCGGCCAGTGGCCACAAATGACTTTCCATGTCATCTCGAGGTTTGAAACAGTGTGAGCGACTGTTTGCGGTCGAGCATGTCGCCGACCTTTATCAAGGACGTGTGCGTGTAGTGGGCCCTAACCTGTTGATGTTCTAAGTGGCCGGAGCCAGCAATGCCAGGAAGCCAGGAATGTTAGGCTTAAAATGAAAGGTGAAGCTGTCGCGACTCCTGGATGTCCGGGTCTGATCTCGTCGAAATCGAAAGCCAACCTCGCCCGTGCTCGATAACTCACAACTCAGGCACGATCGGAGTGATGTATGCTTTGAGCTTCTCACCCAGGCTTCAGTACGTCGTTTGGGCACTGCCTGCAGGTCGCAAGCATCCCGCAGCAACGACATATCTTGATGCACCCGACCCTTGACAGGTGCTCCAGCACGAGCCACCATTCCCCACCATGCCGGGATCAAGATCCTTCGTGCCAGAATGTGTCTACACTGCAGCACCCACAAGCTGCATGAAGGATCATGAAGCTCCCTCTGAGGACCGTGGATGCCGACCTCGCAGAGCGGCAACTCGTCTGCATACGGGCTGAGATCGTAGCCTTTGGTTTCCTGCTACCAGACACAGCAAGCAAAGCGAAAAAGGTAGACCGATGCACGAATTGAAGTCCTTGACCCAGAAATCATCGACAGGCTCCTTAGATGCCATCACAATGCCATGCCCTAACATGATGACGCTGCTGCACTATTCGTGCGATCTAAAAAACCATTTGCTTAGGAGGGCTTCCGGCTTTGGCAGCGCCATCTCCTCGAAGCTGACCGGCAGCAAGACTGCGTCAGGCGGAATTCGGCACTTCTCTATGCCCAAAAAATGGGTAGTTTTGGGGAGTTCGTTCCTAACTATTCCGAGCCCTGTATGGCAGTATGGTTCCTGGAATATCATGACAATGAGGTGGTCCTGTGCCAAGGACAGTGACAGAGCCTTTCCGGATGCCACTCTGGCCTCGCAGTGCATGTGCCAGGGATCCAGCTGACGCGGGCGCCATTGTCACAATGGCCCCCGATGTTTCTAGCCTTTATGAGTCTTACTTCATATTTCATGGCTCATGACAAATCTGCAGCCTCACCTGGAATGCTTTTGCAGGACATCTTTTGCTTGAACATAAACACCTGCGACACGGTAGAGGGACTGTATGCAGGTTGACGAAGAAAGCGTTCAACATCATCCATGGCGGAGGATTGTTCGGCTGCAACGTTGTGCAGCAACAAGTCTCCGAGATCTCCCGCGTGCTTTCAGCTTTCATCGCTGCAAAAACAGAGATGTGTCCATGCTGCTGGCTGCAGAAAACGATTTGTCATGTAGACGTCACGCAGAGGACAGAGGATGTGGCAACGGCATACAGCAACCAGCTGATATTCATACACCCACCAACAAGACAGCGGAGAAGAGGGCCTGTAGCCACATCCCCTATCCGAGGCGTGGAACATTGATCCTCTAAACTTGCTGAGCAGAGTCTCTCCGCTTGGAAAAGCTGCGTCAACTCTCAGGCGAGTCCGGTGCAGTCGGAGCCTTGCAACCACCAGGCGAGAACGGAAAGACTCTGTCTTTGTCAGTGAGATGTGGGCTTTCAGAGTGAGATCTGCGGCCACAGCAACTCTCTCAGACCGCAGCTCGTCTTATCTGCGTTACCTGCGGCTGGCCCTCTTGCTGGCCAGAAGACTCCCGAGACTCTCCCGAGCCTGCGGGTGGCCCTTCTTGCTAAGGCCAATTTTGAAAATCACCTCCGCTGAGTGGAGGTAGACACTATCAGCCGCTCAGCAACATCGGCAGCGAAACAAGCTCAAAAAGCAGAAGCAGGGCAGCAGGCTCTGTCCAATACCTTGCAGAGTCGCATCACGAATGACACCGTACCACTCGCTCCACTTCATTGGCAAGATGTGCCTTGATGTCCTCAGGAACGAGGTCCTGGTGAAACGGAAGCTTCCCCCCCCCCGCAGTGGGCATGCAAGCAACATGTGATCCGATCCTTCGGGACGTATGTGTCTCGACCGTAGATCCTGCCCCACGAACTCAGCGTGATGCGACGATACTGCAGTTGTCTTGTGTCGCAAGCAGTGTGTCCTATGTACATCTTGACAGGCAATGAAGCCATAGCCATGCCTGGAGACACGAAGGGGCTTTAAACAAAGTTGCAGGATGCTGCACAGCACGGGATTGAACTGCCTGTCACTGAGGGACTTGAGGCTGCCCTCAAACTCCTGCGAGAAGACCGCCCCGAAAAAGCAGCTTACAAGAACTTGACACGGAAGAGCGCTCCCTGTCAGGCGGTGGCGGTGCAGCTGGCTTTGCCGCTTTGTTGCCTTGAGAGGCTTAGGATCTGCTTAGGCCTCGCATCGGCCTTCTGGCTCCTTCGAAGCTGAGACTTGTGCTTTTCAATTCCTGCAGCCGCTTTTCCAAAGATGGCGGCAGGGCCTGGGTGCATCTTTGGGCAATGCAACAGAAACACAAACCAGAGCCGGCGGCTTTGGTGTGGTAGAGTGTGCTTTCGACCTATCTTCAAGCACCATCATCGAGCGAGGCGCGACGGAGTCCTCTTGAAGAGGTCTGGGCATGGCAGAACTTCTGGCTGCCGCCTGCATTGAGACGGCGCCGTTCAACACATTACTTCGAGAGACTGTACCTACTTGCATGATGAGCTTGCCGCCCCCCGCAGAATGTTACAGCAACGAAGCATGGAAATGACAAGGTAGGCCGCGGTCGGATCGGAAGGTCGAGTTAGTACGAGCTCAATCTCCTCACCCTCCAGCTTTTAGCTGTTGCATGTTGCGGAAGCTGATCCAGAACAGGGGTGCAACAGTACAACGAAACAGCGAACGGGAACAATCGTCATTCATTTGTTGGAGGAGATTCAATGAATTGCAAAGCGCGCAGAACGGGACAACCACTTTCGTGCTGGAAGGTTCTGAAGTGCACTGTCCCCTTCACAGCCGGACAGTTGGTCTGCAATCAGCGCGTTTGGACACATGTGCTTCGATCTGCTGTGCCCGAGTTGGTGGTGCTTGCTTAGCGGAGTTGGTTGATGCCCACCTCGTCCGGCAAAATCGCGCAATATGACTCATGATGCGCTGAATTGAAGCTCGAGCTGGGCGCCTGCATCTGCAGGTGCTGCATGTATTCCCACGTTGGGTCCTAAAGTGGCATGTATAGAGCGACGGAACTCACGGTTCAACCAGGACTGAGACGATGGCTGGCCAGAACTGCGGCTGCGGCGGTGGAAACCACGGCTGAGTGTCGGCCCATGGGTGGTAGGACTCCGGGGAAGGCTCGACCGCCTGTGCAAAAAGGCGAAGAGGGCGGTCCAGTTGATTGTCGAACCCCTCTGCCTCGGAATAGGGCCCGCCGTTCCACGTGCTGCCTTGCTTATGGCCTTGCATCTCAAAGCGGCCATTCGCTGGATCGCAAAGCATCCACAAGGCTAACGCGCTGTGTGACTAATTTGCAGTGCTGCACCGAAAAGCCATGCAAAGGGCTGCACGATTCGCAAAGTCCCAACACACCTCCCAATCCGGAGGTTTGCCGGCATACCTCGGGCTTGGGTTGAATGGTGACTCACATCAAGTCTGGAAGAGTTTTACTCGTTCGATATGTGCCGAGGTGTTGAGCAGACCAGATGTCAGTATGCCTAATTGACCCGGGCAAGCTACATACTCCTTGCTACACGTTAAGGCCGTGACCAGGACATGTCTCCAAGGCTCGAGCGGACAATGTCGTGGAAGCTTGTTGCTTGGAGGTTCTCCCCAACGTTACTTTGGTCACATGTCTCTACATAGAGCTCAACATCGACTCCACGTCGCTTTAGTTCTCGAAACTCGAGAAGACAATGCAACTGGTGATATTCTCGCTTCATGGAGCAGGCGAGAAAGTCATGTGGCAGGTGATCGACTTCGGGCATGATGGGCCGAAAGGCATTGCCGTTTCGTCTCATGCTGCAAGGCTCCTAGACCCGAAAGCTTTGTGGCCCCTACCAACACTGAGGCTTTCGAGGGCTGGGATGGCAGTGCAACGATGTGCAAAGGTTTTCAGCATCTGTGTCTCGATTAACGATTATCGTCAGGTGAAACTCGGAGTGAAAGCTGCCTCTCGCAAACTGATGAGTGTTGACAGCTTCGACAACTGCGAAGAGAAATGTCGCGAAGTTGCGCTCGTGCTGACTGGGCTGCACCGGCAATGTCTGACTCCACGACTCAGCTGGGCATCCATCCTGGCAAACGGCATGACGTCGCACAGTGCAGAACACCACGGCACCCTCAACGCCCCCCTTGCTCTGGGCACCGCACCCGAGCCATTGGGTGCAACGCACCGGTTGCCGGTCTGTTGCTTCGACTGAGCACGGCTTCTGAGTTTCTTGCTGAGTCTTTGGTTGATTCCCCGTACGCTGAGGCAAAAACACTCTCTTTGGAGGACGGAGGTGGTCTTGCATATGCCGGAGGCTCCGCCTGCAGTCGAATGCCACTGCATGAGGTGCAGGGAACAAAGTTCCTTGCCTCGACATCGAAATTCTGGAAGGCTTGTCGAGCCAGGCTTGAAGCCACGGCCTCGACAGCACACAGACGGCTTTGCGCTCAAGCCCAAGTCACCCTCGACACAATTCGAATGCCTCGCTGAGAAAGCTTCTCCAGTCCAGACGCTGCTCCCAGCTGCTTATGTGCACCGTCGTCAGCTCTTCCTAGCTCCGGTCCAACAGGCCGGGAGGGCTCACATACGTTCAGGGTAACGGTTTGGGGTGGAACCGAACGACATGTCAGATGCAGGTGCAGTCCTCCGCAATTTCGATCTCGTGATTTCGATCACCGGCATCGACAACATCACTGAGACACCGCAGCAGTGCCGCCTCAGCAGTCTGACGACTTGCGCCCCAAGGGGGGGAGGGGGGGGCGGAGGGACGAAAGCTCACAAACCGGGGGCAAGCTGCGCGGGTGCGGAAGAGGACGGAGATGGGCGACACTCCTTTTTCACTTGCCACTGCACGTCAACCACCCCCCCGCCCCCGGCACCAGGCACCATAAGCATCATAAGGGTCCCGTTTCTCCAAAAAGAGTTTCTGGGTGGTCCCCCCACACCCCCTATAGCTGATCAGCAAAGCAGGGTCTCAAACGAAAGCTCTTCCCTCCACAGAGGGAGCTTTCGTAACTTACTGCCGGCACAGGCATGTGGCATACATTCGAGAAACTTGATGTGTGCTCGCACACATGCGCGTCTCTGCATGATGAGCCGCAGTGATGTGGAGCGCGTCAAATCGTTTTACAAGGGCAAACTGCATTTTAGTACGTGGGAGAAGCTTGCTACTCTCAGCAAGACAATGGGGCTGTAAAGGTGCAGATGAACGCTCACAAGGAAAATGAATATGCTGTGTCTCCGGACCACCGACCGCAGCATCCACAGCATGCGAAAATATGGAAGACCAGCCCACACCTTGCTTCATGTGCCTGCAACTGCAGGAACTGGGAAAGGCACTACAGTTGAAGTGTATGCTTGCGGTTTGTTTTCGCCGTAAGCACACCCGTCCTCCTTGCTTCTGCCCCTTTTCAGGTTTGCGTGCATGCGATGCAGGGGGTTTGAGGATCGCACCTATTCCATAAGCATGCCGACCGCGTCGGCGTGCAAGTTAGCTAGGAAGAGGCACAGCGCGATCAACACTTCAATAGAGTCGCAGTAAGCTTCCCTTTTTCGACAACCCAAAATGAGAGACTGAATCGAACGGCAGCGAGAATGAGGATGTGGCTCCAGAATCGCAACCTCACCCCGGGGCGTACATCAAGCTTCGGGATGATCTCGGAAAGCTTAAGGCATTCCGGGCCTTCTTGGTGGTGGCCCAAGCGGCTCCGGCGAGAACTCGGCTTCTTCTGAATGACCTCCAGTCCCACGTGAGGGTACTGTAGCAGGTCATTCGATCCGCTGCTGCAGCCTCAGGCTGCACCCAGAACGGATTCTTGGGCCTCCAAGACTGACCGTGCCAGGGATGCCGTCACGAATTTGAGAAGCACTGAGCTACCGGCGTGCACTTGTGTTTGTTGTCGGGTTCAGGCACCTCAACTGCCTCCACCTGCGAAACTGAGACTGGGTCCTTTTCATTCGTGAGGATGACAGGCTTCACCCTGCCTTGGAGCTCGGCGAAACTTCCCATGCCGGGTTGTCTGATCGGGAGCCCTGTCAGCATCTCACAGATCAGGGGCAAGTGGCATGTCATAGCTGTCAAGGTTTTGGAGCCTGTGCAGTGCCGGATGTGTGGCTTTCACCAGCAGCTGCCTGAGCTCGTGAGGAGACCGAGGTCGGTGTGGAGGCCTCCGCTTGCTTCCAGGACCTTTCCACAGCCAACTCACACTTCTCCACTCGCTGCATCTCGCTGCCAGTCTCACACTGCAGTGCAGCACGCGGGGCCCCAGCGAAGGTCCGTCCGAAGGCCAGGAAGGCTCTCGCGGGACCTTCCATGCCACGTGGCACATCCATGTATGATAGCTGCACCAGGTCCCCTTATTGTGCAGGGCTGGCCGAAGTGTTCAGGGACTCATGCCCATAATTTCCTGTTGTTCGCACCTTGCCTCTGTGCTAAGCTCCCTCAGCTCCATAGGCCGAAGTGGAACAGCAGGCCCTGCTGTGGGCCTCATGCACAACGAAAAGCAGCACACTTAGAACGATCGCACGCTGTCAGAAGCCGCTAACTAGTCTCGAAGGGACAAGAGTCTGCAAAATACATATCATCAGGTACGTAGTGTTTGGCAAGGATGGGCGTGTAGATTATGCACCTGTGTGTGAGGATTGGTGCAACTCGAGTGGGCTGTGATCGGGCAACAGATATACCTCATGGTCCCGGGCTGTACGAAGACCGAAAAATATTCCAGCTTGAGAAGCACAGGACGGCTGCAATTTCATTCACTGGTGCACAAACTGAGGCACAAACAAGTTGGAAGATGCCGCGTCCTGCGCGGTCTGGCAGGAGCTCGATTAAGGCTTTAGGGCTGGCAGTAGAAAGGCCCAGCAAGAATCAGAACTACATCTATTCACCCGAGTCCTGCTGAGCTGCCGAAGACCTCGTCTGGCAGGACAGGCACTATGCACTTGAATAAACGATGCAGTAAGTGCCAAGACGCCTGGCTTTTGTTCTAAGGAGATTCACTCCGCACCCCGCCGACCTTGTCACCCAACCCACTTCCAGATCAGCACCCCGCTCTCTCCCTTCCTTGCGAAACCAATTATGCCAATGAAGGGTTTACCATGGTTTGCCCAATGCTGCCGAACACGAAAAGCAATGCTCCTATCCGATCTGTATTACGCGGATGCTCAACACACCGTCCTTCCCTACTCCTGGAGCCTGGTTGCATCTGAAATCTTGTATCTGCTCACGATGCAGAGTCTCGGTAGAAACGTTCTGTACCTGTGCTGTAACAAACGAAGGACTGAGAGCGAGCGAAAGCTGAGAGCACGTGAGCGAGGCTGTCTGAGAATGCGTGATAGCATATGAGGGAAAGAGCCAGAGAGGAGAGAGCGAGAGCACAACCAGCTCCTGTAGACAACAGACGACGAGTTCCACACGCTTACGGCACATCATATGTCGGGCGCGCTTATTTCGTGGGCACAACAAGCGATTGTGCCAAGGGCCATGCAAATTTCCTGGATTTCCAGGATCCTCACCTGGAGCTTACTTCAGTGGTCACCCAACACCTGAAGCCAGTCAGTTCTGCACCTCTTCCAGAGTGGCCAGCTGTGAAAGACTGCGATCGCGGGAGTTCACCCTGTTTCGGCGCAGCCCTGAGCCGAAGCAGTACAGGCACCCCCCACAAGAATGCCCGACTCAAGACTGAGCCAGCAGCAATGGACCACCTGCACACTGTCATACGGATGTGCTAGCTGTGCTTTCTGGTGGGCTTTCGGATTCTCAAGAGTTGAAAAAGCCGGCCTTGCGCAACAGCGAAGGATTGGGCACGGGGCGCTCCCATCAGTGGCCTGCCCGCCAGAAGGAAGGCCAAGCAAAGGCAGTCGTGCATGCACGTCAAGTCGTGCCCACGACAGAACTTAGCTAGCCACCGGACTGGTGATATGTTTGCACGTCATATCATATCCGTTTGCTGTCTTCTGCTTCACCCAAAAATATGAAGACTAGACGCGACGCATGCATATCTGTCTGCAATCGCATCCGTTGCACAACACACTCCATGCTGTCCATGACGACAGAGGTTACGCACTCGAATCGGGCCTGCCCTTCCAAACTCTGACGTCGTCATGGCGAAGAAATGTTAGAGTGTTACCCAACCCTGTAGCACGGGTTCGGCGTGGGAGGGGTATTGCGATGTCAAAGACCAAGATGGCATGTTCCTACAGCGACCGAAGGACTCGGAGCAAACTGCTGCAGACAGGTTGGCCAAGTCAACCAAGTTCGTGATCAGAGCACGAAAGCCACAGAAGGCAACGTAAAGAAAGACAATCAGAACAACAGCAAGCCCGATGATTGCGAGGAAGTCATGAGCTTTGGGCGCGTTCGGACGGATGTCAGGCTATCTTACAATTTGATGATGCCAAGGGCAAGGTGCAACATGGTGCACCATGACGAAACAACCATGCACTCCAACGGACTCGCCGGACTTTGCTTCCCCAAATAACTGACTGAAACACTCAGCAAACCTGGATGCGTCAGCTGCCATGAGCTACTCGCACGTCCTTGCCAAGCTGCCTTTTCTCACAAGTCGTGCTCTCGAGTGCCGCGCCAGGTTCCAGAAGAAACCACGAACCTGGCAACACAAGTCGGGTGAACGAGAAGTATGTTTTCTTCGCGCTAGTCATGTCAAGCATGGGGTAGTATGCTGTAAAAGAATATAATGCACATGAAATCTATGCGGCGAGCGGTCTGGCGGATGCCTCCGCCTCAACCAGTTCTTCGTACATTTCCCGCACACATCTACAAATTCACCACAAGATGCAAGGGGGCTCGGATCGAAGTCTGAAGTTGGAGCATAGAGCTGAAGAACCCCTGAACACTCTCCACACTCCACCCACAAAAAACATTGTTTGCCCGAGGTGCGGAGCTCCGATGCTTTTTCTGACGCGCGCCTGAGCCGATCTTAGTACTAGTAGCAGCAAGCAGCGGCAGCAGCAGCAGCAAGTTGAAGCTTTGGGATCGAAGTCTGAAGGAATCTGGTGGTCTGTCGCTGCAGCTTGAAGTAAAAAAAAAAGCTGGTGCCTTCCGCGGAGTCATCCTATCGGCGAGGTCCCCTGTGCAGTCCGGACCTTGCAGCGGCTTCCAGGTGTTTGTTCGGAAACATAAACGGCCATGCTGCTTCGGGTTGACCAAGACTCATGGGGCTGATCTGGTTGTCTGCAGCCAACAGGCGGGATGTCTCCTCCGCCAAGGCGAGCTGGCACATTTCCTGCACACATCTGCAAATTCTTCACAAGATGCAAGGGGGCTATAGGGGGCCGCAGCGGGAAATCGCACCACAGGCCTGTGACAGGTTTGACGCAGCTGCCGCCTCAGATGAAGATACCGTAGCTCCATGCTGGATGCGAGCCAAGACCAACTTCAGTCGCAGCGAAGCGGTCATGTCGGAGCGTGTGGGAAAAGAAGCTTTGTTGATAGTGCCTCCGAGCATCGCTGAGGTGCTCGGGGTTGAAGGTGTAGGCCTCATCATCTTCCTCGTCTTCGCTGCTGCTGCTGGAACTCATTGCGTAGCACCTGCAAAAGACTTGCAACTTGCAACCATCGAAGTCTGCTCAGGGTAGGGTTCACAGTGAGCACTTGCTGGGCAGTGAGCACACGGTCTTGCCGTTCTTTTCCTTCGTGTCCTCTGAGTCCTGCGAGTCATATAGAATAATTGATTCACACCACTTGCTGGGCAGTCAGCACACAATGTCCTGGTTGTATTCAAAGGTGCAAATCATGAGAGAGAAATGCGCATTGTCTCAGGCTCGCACAGCGAAGGGATGTGCGAGCCGTTATCTTTGCTGCATCATCTTCATCAAAGTTTAAACTTCTGCGATGACTCCATCCATGCATGGCACAATCATTGTAAGCACATGATGTATGGGACCATGCTGCGTGCTATATGTGCTATGGTATACGCCGTAGCACATGTTGCGCTGCGCTCCCTCTATGTTGCTAAATTCCCGACGAAAGGGCTCTGAACCATCATCCGACAGCCAGGCTGGCGCCGGAGTCAGGAAGGACAGGAGTGAGAGCCTCAGGGCTAAAGCGAGAGACAAAGAAAGAAACAGGTAAACAGGACAACAGAGTTCTCACAGAAAGAGGAGCGGTGGAGAGACACTCACATGATACGATGGGCCAGTTCCGTCGCAGTTTGAGGGAGAACTCCAGGAATCTAACATAGGGATTTTAATAATTAGACTGGGCTTTGGGGTACATGATAAACTTATCGGGTTTACGGGTTGTTTTCAATTCGCGTCTTTTCTGGGGTTCTGTTGTCTGTGTTCTGCCTCTTGAAGGTGTGTCTGTGGGCTCTGATGGGCTCCGGCTGGGCTCGGTTCTGGCTTTGGCTGAGTCGGAGGACCTTGGTCTGTCGATTTTCCTGTAGGAGGCACCGAAATGAACGGAACCCAAGAGCACCAAAGTCGTCGAAATTGCCCAAATCGGTTTTCGTAAGGCCATGTCGAAGGATCCCGGATTTTTTGGGTGCTCTCTGGTCGTCGAAGCGACCCAGAATGTGCGATGCCCACCAACGACTAAAATCGAAATCGTCGATGTGGCGGGGCCCTTTTCTGAGTTTCCGGCCGTCGGGGCTCCGATTGACGTTAGGGGAACCCTAATCCTTGGAGGGGCGGGGGTCCCAATCCTTGTCCCGCGCCATTTCGAGGCCGCTCTGCACGGAAACCCGGGCTCAAATTCAAACCCGAGCGGGGGCATCGAATGGGACATTCCGTGTGTAGGACATAACTTCCACTGAATCTGCACATAGGTCGCCTTACCTTCACAATGTGATCAGCTGCGCTTGCTGAGGAAACCTCTCTCTGCGAAACACTGTGGAGCGGACGTGCTCCAAGTCTTCCAAGAAGTTGTCAACTTTTGCCTGCATCTATGTCTCATGCGGGCGGATGTGCTAGCCGAGCTGTCTTCGGGGTTTTCGACCCCTCGAAAGTTGAAAACAGCCGGCCTTGCTCAACAGCGAAGGATGTGGGCACGGCGCGCCAGTGGCTTGCCGCTGGAAAGCAGGCCAAGCAAAGACTAGGTGGGCGCTCGACTAGGAGGAAGACTGACGACATGCTTGCATTACATCTGTCCGCTGTGCTATGCTTCGCCCCAAAAGAAATTACGAAGATGGAAGTGATGCACGCACATCTTAATCTGCAATCGCAACCGTTGAGCACTCGATGCCGAGGGAGGTTATGCACACGAACGGTGCTGGGCGCTTCCAAACTCCGAAGCTGTCCTTGTGAGATGCTGCAGTCTTACCACCGAATCAAAGTCTCAGTAAAAACGACACTGATTCATGAAGCATGCCCCTGTACCTCTCAAGCGTCAGAATGGGTTGCAGGAACGTGCCCCAAACCCTGAGCAGAGCGAACCGACACAAAGGCACGCACAAGTCGAGTGCTTGTTGACCCGCAAGGGTCGGCTGAGTTGACGTAAGATTCGTTGACTCTTATGGCCCTTGTTCTGCACGAGGCTTCGCCTCTTCATGCAGCGAGAGGGAACTACCTCTGCGACAGTTGAAGGTCTCTGCATCAAGCCAGGATCCTCTGACTCGAATGCGGGTGTGATGCTTAGTCGCCACAGAGGTGGAGGCGAACTTGGCCGGAGTCGGAAGTCAGGACTACAACTCCTCATCTGGCAGCTCGTCGTGTCTTAGAACCTTCCAGCGAGATCCAAGAATTCTAGCACTCTAGCAGTCGATTAGATGGACCAGTCCCGACAAAGATCACAGAATTGTTTTTGGGTCTACGTCTTCGTTGAAGCTGCTCCGACACAAGATGAAACTAGTTAGTCGCAAGCTGGGATCCGGGAAGGCGAACTCTCGCTCTCGCCCCGCTTCACCATCCCGCTCCTAGCAAACATTGACGTGTCGACGGCCTTCTGATCTTGGTAGTATGCCCAGACCAGGATGGCAATGATAAGGAGAAGGATGAACAGACCTTGGAAGGACGATGCTCACGTTGCTGTACCTGTCCGCCACGGAGCAAACCTCCATTTTCTGGGAACCGGACCTACGATGAGGCCGCAATACTCCACGATTCCGCCCTCTTCTTCTGGTTCGTCCTCCATCATAACTTAGAGAAAACCATGCTTGAACCACATTCGGTTGCTACATTATGTTCACGACATCCGCCAGACCTATCAGGGTGAACCACACTGTGTGCTTTTGACATGTTGGCCCTAAACCCTCTAAACCTCCTGCCAGCGATGTGCGTCAGTACTTACTGTTCGTATGATTATGATTATGTCGGGTGCTACCACTGCTACTACTACTATTACTACTACTACTACTACTACGACTACTAAACACTACTACTACTACTACTACTACTACTACTACTACGACTACGACTACGACGACGACGACGACGACGACGACTACTACTACTACTGCTACTACTACTTCTTCTTCTTCCACTTCCACTTCCACAACAAATCTACGTCTACTTCTACCACTACTACTACTACGACGACGACAACGACGACGACGAATACTACTGAAAGTGTCAGACAAGAACCTACATTTTCAGGGAGGGTTTAGGGTTCAGGGTAGATCCTATCAGAATCTAAGATCGACGTTTTCAGCTCCAAAAAGGATGTGCGGTTGCAGGCACACCCATAAAGCGCCCACGACATCGCTGTTGCTTGCGACTCCCGTCGTCGTATCTCGTGACCGGATGAGGGGTTGAAACACAATTGCCACTCAACAAATACTGCAAAACATGGTCGTGACGCGAAGGCAGAACAGGAGCTCAATATGACCAGAAAAGTCGCGCCTCCTCGGTCCATGTGCGAATCTCCTTTAATCGCTGCTGATACCTGGTTCCGGCATCTCTTTCAAAGCGTTGGGTGCTTTCGGCCCAGGTGTTTGATGTGTATCCATCGGACAAGAGTCGGGCCTTTCTGGATGGTAGCCACGTGGACGGCCACAGTTCTTGCATTCAGTCATATCCTGCACAGGTCTGACTGAGCCTTCAACTTACTGTTGGAAAGGCTGGGGTAGCAGTTGCGATACTGTGAAGGGATCCATGGTGACTGTGAAAGTCGTATCAGTAGCAGTAGTAGCAGTAGTAGCAGTAGTAGTAGTAGTAGTAGTAGCAGCAGCAGTAGCAGTAGCAGTAGCAGTAGCCTCCAGGAGCAGCGGCAGCAGCAGCAGCAGCAGAAGCAGCAGCAGCAGCAACAGCAGTGGGAGCAGGAGCAGCAGCGGTAGGATTAGCAGTAGCAGTGGCAGTAAGAGTAGAGACAGTGGTAGCGGCGGTAGCAGTGGAGGAAAAAGATGCCAACCCGTAGCTGTATGTAGCTACCAAAACCCGACATCAATGATGGCAAACAAGCCTGCAAACCCTGCAAGGCGAAATGGACTGGGCTGGGCACCCGCAACGCACGATGATGGAGATGTTAGGTGGGAAGATGTTGTGTAGCGCTGTTAGCTGCAGCTGCTACAACATTCAGGCCCAAAACAAAGCGGATGCTTCAGGCAAATCCTAAGCCTCTGAACCCTGAAACAACATGCTGGGAAAGCATCAGCCGTGGATACAGATGTTGGCTAGCAGTCCGCCAAGCCTCGACAGACACATGGCGGTTGGCGAGTGCAAAAACAAAATAGCAAAATTCCTGAAAGAACTCTCACATAGGTAAACCTTGGAACACATGCTGGGAAGCCCCGACAGAGATAAAGGCAAGCCGGCAAACCGTGACAAACGCTCATTGCGGCAGCTCCTCCGTGTTTTTGCTGTACTCGCACAGCTTGCACGTCCAGTACCTCGTCAGCCAGATACAATGCTTCAACAATGCTAGAACCTGCTAGAATGCAAGGATCGCGTCGTGCCTCACTTTGACCTCCTGCAATGGAAGGATGGTGCACAGCTCGCCTATGATACTGATCTCAGTCTCTGGTCCAATGGAACACTTGCGAGACGCAGCAGCATGCTATCGGCTTTCTTAAGGCACGATGTCGCAGCTGATGTCAGCTGTCTTCACGGCAGACAGTTTGCTGAATCTGTTTCTGGACCTTGTCCACGTGTCCATATGCGGTGATTGTGAAACTGCACGGACTGACTACTTCGGCAGACGCGCCCACGTACACAAGAAACTGTCTCCTTCGAGGTGGGCTTCATGTCTGGCCATGCGCAGAAACACGGAAACAAGGCGCACAAGCGCAGGCTTGTAGATCTTGTCTCTCCTTTATGTACCCATGTCTGTCTGGGCACTTGTTTGCGTACATGTTTCTCCTCCGTCACGCCGCATGCTCTCTATGTCCACTCTATGTGAACTCCTCCGAGCCTGCAGCTGAGATACTTGCTTTAGGTTCAGCAAAACTTCTTTCGTGGTTGATTGAAGTCAATGTTGCGGGTGCTTGAAGCTCAAGACGGCAGCAAGCCAGACCATCCGCTCGATCCAAGCCCATCACGGCACATGCGCAGTTGAGGCGTCCATCCGCTGGTTTTCGCTTCACGTACCAAAGCCAAAGTACTGGGGCAAGGCGCTTCGCGCCGATCTTATTTCCAGCAAAGAGATTCAACTCCTAGTAATTGGCAAACTTGGAGACACGTGGAGGTCCCGCGTGTCGCCTCCCGCGTGTCGGATGCTCCCAGCTTGAAACTCGAGTTCAAGCTGGCAGTTTCAGGCCTGGCAGGGGCTTCCGACATGTGGAGTTTTAGGGTTCAGAGTGTAGCAAATTAGGATTCGATGAACTGACCCAGTGTCAGTTTATGCTGACACTCAGAAACCTGGCGTTTTCAAAAACGGCCTGAAACTAACAAGTCTAACAGCGACGCCCGGTGACTACGAAGTTTGCAAGGGGGCACACCACGCACTTGCTAGTGACTAGATAGAGATAGCAATCCGTCATAGCAAGCAAGAAACAGGGCACGAGAGGTTGCATGTGGTCTGTACTATACCCGATGGGGGTTGTCTAGACGTTGCAACAGTGGCAACTACAAGTACTGCCTGTAGCACAGAAGCGGCGCCTGGGTGCGAAGCCTTGGCTGAAAACCTGGCAGAGAGTCCAAGCACAGCTTTAGCATGCCTGGTCCAATCGCTTGCCCACCTTGACTGTCCAACCTGGACAAAGGCAGGCGAGGAATAAGCCGTAGCCGCTCGCATACACATTTTGTAATTGTGTGTTCACGCATCAACGAGCTATGGCCTAAGACTCCTAAGAGTGTCTGCAGCCGCGCGGCCAGCGGAGTCGAAGACGAGCGCACGAGGGAAGAGATCCTTCGCACGGTCTGTTTTTCTCAGCGCGGCGAGCAAACGCAGCAAAAGCGGGGTTCAGGGCACATCTTAGCACGCCTTGCGCTTGAAGGGGAAGGTGACACCGCCAATGGCTCGGTGAAGTCAGCGGGCTCAGTGGATTCGGTTCGGCGGAGGTTGAACAAAGAAAGCCACGATTCACGGCATGACCGTGAGGCCCCGACCACCAAGCTCTGTTTTGGGGGGCTGGCTGCACGAGCGGATGTACATGCCATCGAAGCAGAACCTTGAAACTTCAAGCTGGCAGTGCTGGCAGCAGACTGCAAAACAAGGCGCAGCATGGAACAAGACCTCTAAGCACGCGACGGAGGAGTCCTCGATCTTGAAGTGGGCTCCCCACTCGACCAGTGCCCGAACCTTCGACGTCAGGCCAGTTTGTCAACAGTTGTCTTGGCACTCCGCCTTGAGGGATTGGAAGGTGTTTCTCCGAGGTTCCCACGCTCGTGCGCAAGATGCGACACCCACATCGCCTCGAGTCACTGAAAATACGGGCTAGTGTCTGGGCCTGGTAGCTGACCTTGCCTGCGACGTGCCAGCGGCAAAATCAGTCGGGATAGAGCCCTCACGAGATGCCAAAGAAGGCTGCGCAGCCTGAGCCGTTCTTCGGTTTCGAAGTGTTCTGCGCTCGGTAGCATTTCGCTTACTTACTGGACTTCATGCAGCTGGTACACTCGTCGCGCTTCAGCGCTCGCAGGGCCCTGGTGTGCATGTAGGGCTGGGCACGAGTTTGCAATATAAAAATTCTGCAATTGCTGCGTCCGTCGCCACAAAACCTCGTATATCCCTTGCTGATGAAACCGGCCTCTCCCCAGGAAAGATCTAAGGAGGGCCACACCTGAGCTGTACATGGATGAAGCCATGGCATGGTGACCTCTCCAGCTCAGGCAGGGGCGAGGCCCTTCCCGGAGCAAAGCCGCGGCTTCGGAGGCCTCGGAGTCGCGGGAAAAAGCAATCATGCTTTAAGCTTGCACAGCTCCTTTCCACAGCCTGCATGCGACATGGATGAATTCTGTATGTGTGTGTATGCATGCATGCATGCATGCATGCATGTATGTATGTATGTATGTGTGTATGTACGTGTGTACATACATGCGGATGCGCTGTCTGGATCGGCCGATCCCTTTGCTGGCTCGGCCATGCCCATGGCGGTGCTCGGCATGGCTAGCCGCTCACGGCTAGCCCCAGCTTTTTCCATGAAATCTTGAAATGTGAAACTGCTTTATCTGTATGGAAATCAGAGGAGGAGTGCAGGATATCCCACCCCACCCACCCGAGACAGAGAAGGAAGTCCGAGAGGAGAACCACATCCAAAAAAGAGAAAAGGCCAACAGAGAAAGCACAAATTCCTCCGGCTGCGGCGACAGGGAGCGCTTCCCCAAAACAACTCGCAGAGACCACTTTGGAGATGCAGAAAATGAGAAGCGAATCGAAGGTCAGAAGGAGGAGCCTGGGTTTCGGCGATGCTCGCTGCACCCGGGCCTCTGGGATCCTCTGGGTTGCCGTTCGGAGGTTCTCACATCTCAGCCAGGGCCGGGGCGAATATAGCGTCTCTGCCGCTCCTGTCCTGCAGCGTCGAAAAGCATTCAAGGTATCTTTAGGCGGCATTTCTGGGATGTTTAAAGTTGCTTGGGGCTTCTTACTTGTGAACACGAACCGGCATGTCGCCACAACAACAGGAGTCATAGAAAGAAGCGGTTGCAAAGGCGGACTTCAAACACTGGCTGCCAGCATTAATCGTGCCAGCCAGGCGAAGAGTCATGGCAAGAGCCGAGCTGTATCTCAGCAATGGAATGCCAGGGGCGAATTCGTCAAACTACAAGACATTATGCGTCTGTCCGACTTAGTTTCTTGCCTTCGTGCTGGCTGGGATCACTTGAGGCATCGCCCATGTTGGTAAGTCTGCCTGATGCTCGACTTGTTCAGACTAGGGTAAGCCATGGTAAGCGACTAGAGCTCAGGGCACCCCACCCTGGCCAAGTGTGAAAACCTCAGCCAAGCAGTGCCTGAACCACGACAATGACAAGAAACCATGCAACATCATGCAATATCATGCAACAATGCAGGTAAGAGACGCTCCCTGAGACGGCAGGGCTTCTTGTTGCACACGGACATCAGCATATATCGAGGTGGGGACCGCAGCAGGACCTCCAGTGCTAGGGCTTCTGAAGACTAGACCCCACCACGATCATCTAGTCACTGAAGCTGAAGTCAAGCGACTGCCTTCACTGAGCGTGGTCCGCCCCTCGGGCGAACTCGTTCGAGGGCTGTCTGGAGCCATCGTAGTCTCAGACATCCTGGGCTTTGCGCGTCTCAAGCGAGGCGAAACCTCCGTGAGCAGGACATGTCCAAGATGCTTCGCCGTCGGGCTTGGCAATCGAGCTCGGCTGGAAAGGGGAGCCGCAGCCTCCTGCACAATGCCGCAAAAGGAAGCGCGCGGCAGCTTGTATCTTCAGCTGCAGCTATCTTTCGTTGTGCTCATTCATGTTCTATCTGCTCCGTGAACCACTGAGGCTGGGGGTTGGCAACTTCTGATTCTGGCTTCTTGATGCTTCTTGATGCTTCTTGTTTCTTTCCAGTTCACACCTGAGCAAAGTGGCAAGGCCTCCTAGGCCTTTCGGCTTCCTTTCCGCCAGAAAAGACCACCCAACTTTCAGTTTTTGCGAAGGAGGTGGGGTCCCAAACAGGACGAGCAGAGCTTGACCAGATGACACAGGGCATCGAAGCGGTGCCTTGAGGCGTCCGTCGAATCCACTCGCTTCCACCTCGGATCAAGGGCACATCCGGGCACGCTGGCACACTCCGTCCTGTTCTTTTCTGGAAGTTCTACTCTGCATGCACAACGTTTTGGTGCTATGTCTTATTTGCCTGGGTCTGTGAGAAGCCCGTAAACTAAGAAATGTAGAGGGCTACGCTCTTATTTGGCAGGGTTGCAAGCGTCCCGAGGCTTGAAGAAACAAGAGGCTGTGTTTCTCTCTGTCTCAGGAGCCTCCAGGCACGACACCATGCCAGATGCGGATTCGAAAAAAGTTATGTTTTGAGCATCCATGTTCTGGTGATGACACGAGGCCTACTTAGTAAGAGGATTTGGGGGTCTACGCGGAATGTGGCAGTTTGTCTGCCAGGTGCTTGAGGACCTGTAGTGGCCCGTGCTCCGGTTATGACATGAGTGCGAATTCGAGCGCACCCAATCGGAACATGTTCACATTAGTCATGTGCCATATCAAAGATGGGGTAACACATGACGGGCACCTTGTGCCTGCAGGCCTGACTTCTTGTTCTGGAAATCCAACCCAACCAGCTGGGAGTGAGGCTCGCGGCGTAAGCTTCACCGTCGTGGCTGGACCTTTCGCTGGCCGGGCACCTTCAAAAGCCAGGCACGGGCACCTAAGCCCGAAACTCCGAGCTCTAAACCCTAAACCCCAACCCCTAACCTCACGCAAAGCCGACGCTTTCGTGGCCTTGCATCTTTTCGACCTGAGGCGCTGATCGCGGACGACCTGAAAAGGCAAGCGCACTTCTGCCCCTTCCAGAGCGTCGCTTCGGACCGAGGCAAGGGCTCGAGCGTCGCGCAGGCAACACCACACGGGCCTCAGGTGAGAAGAAAACCCTTTTAAAGAACTCCAGGGCGTGCTGAAAGTGCGTTTGGCAACCCAACTGAGGCCGAAGCGGGGCGCGGATGCTGAAACTTGGCAACTCCTCTGGTTGTCGCGACTCTCTTCCCGAAGTCCTGGCACATCAGCGCCAACTGGTATCTCTACCGGCACTCAAGCTGAAGTTCGAACATGTCCATACCAATGTGGATATGTGAGATGTCGCACGCTGCAGCCTTCCCGAGTTTCATGAGGGTGCTACCCCAACGCCC